AAAGACGGCGGAGCCTATTTAACAAGACTTAGAGCTCCCTTGGCCGCTCGCTAGCATCACTCTCCTACATCCACGAGCACAAATGTGAGACTGTGCCAAAGATAAGCGACCAGGTTGCTTCATGTAGCCGATACGACAGCTGAGAAAAAAAAGAGAAGGCATAGTAGTAGAGAAGAGCTAGAGAGAATGACTTAAAGCGTCAAAATAATTGTAAAACCCAATGTGATATATATTCATGCACTTAAGATTATTTAACACCACTTATAATAGAAGCATCATGGGTAAAGACATGGTTTATTTCAAGAGCACTCATAGTATTTAAGAATAGATATTTAAAAATAAAAAAATGGTCATGTTTTATCACCATAGAGATGGATAGTGTGCCGGGTCTGAGGCAATATCTCCTTCATTTTGTTCTTGTTGTTGCATAATGTAAACGTCCCCTAAACGTCCCCAGTACTTCTGTCCATAGACGTAGACACCTGGTATAGATATCGTAGCTACCAGTAGCTACCACACCTTCCTATTCATTTAACAGTGTCAAAGAACTATAGACATGAACTGTGGGTTTAGATTTCCGTTGTGTCTGTTTACCCTCACTCTACCTTCATAAAGATATAAGCAATTTGTCCCACGTGGACAACTCTGTAAAAAGGTTAGAAAATATTTTATTTTTTTCCTTTCTTAATTGAAGCAATTTGACCTGCAGGACTTTCTCAGTTATATTGCATGGGTGCTTGTAAATAAGATAAAAAGCAAATCTTTTTTATTCAAAGATCATGTAAGATAAACAATGTATTTAGCATGAAGCATGACTTATTTTCATATAAACCTTGATCCTAGAGGAAAGAAAAAAAGTTTTGCCGCCAATTGTTATACCCGTGATTATATTGGATTTTTTTTTTCTTTAAATCTTTTGGGTTCTTTTTTTCTGAGCGGGCTTTCAAAGAACGTCTTCAGGGAGGAGCGTGGGGGATCACTCTGCACCTCTGGGCTTCGGGTTCAGGCTATGTAGGCCAGCTGAATCACCTCTTAGGGGTGGGCTTCCGTCTTCTTCTGCCTGTACAGTGATTTTTAGGTGTTCAATGTTAACCCCAGTGTTATTTCAGAACACATGTGTAGAGTGTGTGTGAGTTGGTGTGCCCAACAGCACACACCCTTTAACATTGTGCCTGCCTGCCTGCCCTCAGTACCTCTGTTGTCATGTCTCTGACATGTTTTGACAGAACGTTACTTGTCTTTATTTATAGCAGTATTGGGTTTTTTTCCTCTCCTGTGTGTAAATGTACATGTGTCCTTATTTCCCATCGGCATTGTTCAGTGTAACTGTATGGATCAGACAGGCCTGGGAAGCTTTGTAGGTGTCCTGAAAGAACCTCATATCTCCAGATAGGCGACTTAGAAATCAGATAGAAGAGGAATGTAGGAGATGGCATAATGATAAGTTTGTTTTTTGATTTACATACAGTATTGTTAACCCTTTGATTAAAGGAATGACTTGTCCTTGTGGATGTCAATCTTCATATTTATCTCAAGAGCCCAATCCGGAGATCAGAGGGTTTTTAATATATTTTGCCACTCTACAAAGAGTATGTGTATCTCACTTAGGATCAAGAAAACAATGACTTGATTGAAATCCACAAAAGCAGTAGTGAGCTTTGACATTTTTGCATCGGAAGTGATATAAATACTGCACTGCCATGATTCGGCATGCTTTTGCTGAAACAGGAATGCATGAAAGTAGTCATTTCCCCGCACTTGCAGAAATGCAGTGCAAATAAAAAGCAGCTTTGCAGGAGAAAACATTAGCTGGTTTTGGTTGTAGCAGCGGTCACACAAGGGTTTTCTTTAAGCTCAATGGGCGTTGAGTGATTGTCAGCAAGCCAAGCAGGCAAACGAATGCATGACCCATCCACTGGTACAGTCTTTTGCCACCTGTAGCATGCATCACTGGCTTTACATTTTGTATGGTATCCATGCCGAAATATACAAGAAAAGGCTAAAAGGAGACACTGTCAGTGTTCTTGTTGTGTGCCATCCGTCTCTCGTCTGATATCTGTCTGAGTGCTCCCGGGTCAGCAACAATCCACTGTTGTGGTGACTAATAACGTGTTCAGCTGGCAAGAGCCATGTCGAGGGGGGAATGTGTTGCTTTAACAACCACCTTTTTTCCTCTGACTCACTCGGCGACATGCAGGAAGGATGAACTCCTGACCTACGAGTTCTGGAAAAACAGAGCAACACATAAAATATACCTTGGACATTTCAAAGCAAAGGAAATATACTTCACTGCCTGAAAAGTCCCTAAAACAAGTGTTTGTGTCAAACCTGCCAAACATAACGATGAAACGCTCTAAAAAATACAGTTGCCATTTTTTTTGTTTTTTGATGTTTTTATGCGCATTTTTATTTTCTGTTCTGTTTTCTCTCTGACAAAAGGATCTACAATACTGCCATTATTTCTTTGGTGACTGTCTGAGCTGAATATTGGAAAGCCATAGGTTAGAGATGTCAAAATGCAAAACTGTTATTGATCTGTGAGATGTGATGCAGAGTGCACCGGGGTGTTGGTTTTTTTTTTTCAGTAAATGTTCAATTCTCTCCTTATTGTGCAATCATATTGCCAAAGAATGATTTTAAGACCTATTTCATCACTACATGTAAATATCAACGTTGTCCAATACCGTGGCAAAAAATATATAAATGTTGTTTTATTTTGTTTTCCATTTCCTGAAAAACTGCAATGATGTTTATGTGATGTATTGTCTTCCAGTTGGTTGCAATAATAAAAAATACAAGTTGCAGAAGATTCGTTTGGCTGCTCCTTCTGACGGACTTGAACCGAACAAGTCTTTCACAGAGAATAATACCCATGACACATTAAATCACAGCATCGCTGGTCGGCACTTCAAAAGCAGCACTTTAACTATTTTTCCTCTCAGAATTCAGAGTTAAATATAGTAAAGGCTTACAAGGAAGCATATCCCCCTCTCTACCCCCCTCATTTTCACCACTTCAACATACAACACACACTAACCCCCATTGACTGGTAAAGTGCTAGCTTTGTGAGACTGGAGACTCTTTAATTTGCTCTCAAGACTGACCCCAATCATTAACCTCACATATTCCCATCAACAAGGGTCTTATCATAACCATGCCTCTTCCGCAGTTAATTATTCATTTACTTCCTCTAATCATTTAAGTTCAATACTTCTGATTAAAGTCAGACTCAGCATCCCCCTTAGGGAAAGAAGTAAAAGAGTTGAGTGTACCAAAGAGTTCCTTAACGCCTTATCAATCTGAGTGGTGCCATTTTGGAGTCATGTGGCAGTGGAAGCCCATTCATAATTGAAGCCGAGACAGGCTTAATCTGGAGCCAGTGCCTCCCTGTGCAGCGCTCCCACCAGCAGCACAACTGGAGCTAGCAGCTCCTCTGTTGCTATGCAACTACAGCAAAGAAAGAGGGGGAGAAAAGTGTGCATTCTCTAGATCTTTAGAGGGCATCATACCACTCCGTCACCAAGAGTGAGACTCAAAGGTAGCGACGACATGCCTCGCATTATGCAGCTTCATACTTGATCACATCTCATAGAACACCTACTCAAACCTACTAAACACAAGTCTCCTATCATCTCTTTCTACAACTAACACTTGCGTTTTAGTTTTTTGAAAGAAAAAGGTTCCAAGTGAATTCAAAAGCATATTCTCATCAGTGTCGGGTCGACGTTTAATTTCCCCTTAGTGAAATAATGTAATGAAGTCAGTTGTGACATTCCACCCTGGAGGAGGCACTCTGAGGTGCTAAGTGGACTGATGCACAGAGAGATATCATCCATATCCACACAATGACCAGTGAGGCAAGTTTCCATGGAGACAGAAGTGGAGGTAACGTTCTCTTGTCAGCTCTCATTTACTGCAAAGCTTTAATGACTTTTTGGAAATGTTCCCCTGGTAATCAGGACAGCTGTATTTCTGATTAAACAGAACCTATGGATG